TTTAGTGTTGTTTTTTTTCAGTTGGTCTGGTTGTTATAAATTCCTTTCATTTCTGTTTATCTGCAGATTTCCTTATTTTGCCATCATATCTGAGAGATAGCTTTGCTGGTCATGTGATTCTTGTATGGCAATTTTATTCTTTCAGAGTTTTGTATGTTTTGCCCCCATTGTCTTCTTTCCTGCATGGTTTCTGCTGAGAAACCAAAGCTTCAGTCTTACTGATTTTCTCTTTTATAGGTAAGTTTTTATTTTTCCCAAACTGCTCTCAAATGTCTTCCCCTGTCTTTGATTCTGGCAAGTTTGATTATGATATCTCTCAGTGGTTTTTCTTTTGAGGTTTGTCCTATTCAGTGTACTTTTGGCTTCTTGAATGTGTATCTTCTCATTTTTCATGATGTTAGAGAAGTTTTCTATCAACAGCCCTTCAGCAATTTTCTCTGTGAATTTCGTTGTCTCTTCCCGTTCTGAAATTCTAATCACCCATAGCTGTTTTTCTTCATGGTATCTCATATAAGTCTTGGACTTTCTTTGGGTTTCTTCCTTCTTTTCTCTTTGTTCTTTTAATTTACTAGTATTGAGAGATTTATCTTTGAGCTCACAATTCAGGCTTCCATTGATTCAAATCTAATGTTTTCAAATTGCCCTTTGAATGTTTTGTCCATTTCTGAAATCTTAGAATTAATCTTTTGAGTTACTTTTTGCAGATTTTGTGTTGTTTCAAACTTTTCATTTATCTTGTTTGTTCTTGTAATGTTTTCTTGGTTTCTCCTAAATTTCTTTCTGTGTTCTCCATACTTTCCTTGATTTTTCCCTCATCCAGTTGAAAGTATCTAAATATAAATAGCACTTTCCTGAATTCTTTCTCAGGTATTCCCACTATCTTTTCTTTCTCAGAAATACTTGCTGGCTCTGTGTCTTAAACATTTTGTTTAAGCCACTCTCTTTTGTTTCTTTATGTCAACTGAAATTGTTGTCTCCAAGACTTTGTGGTGATGTTGTGTATATATTGACGACTGAATGATGATGTATTCTTAGGTTCTCACCAAATGCCTCCCAGTGGGTGTAATTAGAAAATAGAAGCATGTTCCAAGTTCTTTGTTTCCCAGTTCTTTGTTCATGCAGCTAGCTTATTGTAGGGTGGTGGTGACTGCTGATCCGTTGCTCTAGGAACTGGTATTGGCTCTTGCCCACTAGGTGAGTTGTGTCGGCTATGTAGGCACAGATTCTCTTTTTGGGTGAAGCAAGAAGAGAAATACGCATACACACACAAGGAAGTAAAGCAAGCAAACAGACCAACAGTAGTGAAAAAAGAAAATAATAAAGGAGAAATTTTTTTTTTTACAAAAGCAACAACAAGAGATACAATTTAAGAAAAGATGGACAGTAGAATAGAGTTTGTAGCGAAAAATAAGAGGGAAAAAACATTAGACAAAACCAGGGAGAGGAAAAAGAGACTAATAGTTAAAGGAAAATCAAGTGAAAAAATGCAGAAAGAAGTGGAAAAAGAGAAACAGAAGAAAGGAAGGAAAAATGAAAGCAGTGGCAGAAAAGATAAAACAGAGGACATGGGAGAAGCAGCAGCACTGCTTTCTTTTTTTTTGGCTGGGTAGTGTACTTTATTGATGGTACATGACAAGACTGGGCTCCCCTTCTCCAGGGGGTCTGGATAGAAACAGGATGGGAGTTTCTCAGTGTGTAGGGGGATTACAGTTGAGGTAAGGACTCCCAGAGCAGCTGAGGGCCTCTCTCTTCCTCTAGTGCTGTTGCTGGGGCTGGTGGTCCAGGGGGCTCTTAATCTTTGGAGGCCATGTGGACCATAAGATACACCACCCTGTTGCTATAGCCGAATTCATTGTCATACCAGGAAATAAGTTTGACAAAGTGGTCGTTGAGGGCAATGCCAGCCCCAGCATCAAAGGTGGAAGAGTGGGTGTCACTGTTAAAGTCACAAGAGACGACCTGGTCTTCAGTGTAACCCAGGATGCCTTTTAGGGGTCCATCTGATGCCTGCTTCACCACCTTCTTGATGTCATCATATTTGGCAGCTTTCTCCAGGCGGCAGGTCAGGTCCACAACAGACACATTAGGAGCGGGGACACGGAAGGCCATGCCAGTGAGTTTCCCATTCAGTTCAGGGATGACCTTGCCCACAGCCTTGGCAGCACCAGTAGAT